TGGAGAAAAAAAAAGATGAAGACCTTCTCGTCGTTCTTGAAAGGAAGAAGTGCAATAGGGGTTGTTGTGCAGAAATATAAGGTTTGGGAAGAGAATTGGGCAAAAACAAAATTAAACCGCCATGTAAAACTTTGGCGCTTCATTATTAGTGTCTTCGTGTACAATTTGTAATCTGAAACATTTGATGCATGCGGAAATTCAATTGGTGCAGGTGGAATTATTCATTTTTTTCCCCAAATTAATTAGACTTTCATGTTTTTGTCCCAAAAAAAAAAACAAAACTCTCTCCCTTGAAACCGAAACTTCAAACCCTCTCAACTCCAAATTTTCTATTTTGACAAATAATCGACAGGTTTGTTCCGATACAGTTGGGCGGAATGAAAGATTACCTATATGGATCATAAAAAATCATGTCTTAATATATAATGTTTGTCAAACTCGTTTTGTTTTTCCGTCATGAGTTCAACGTGGATCTACCCGAATGGTAAAGCTGCTAGAGTAGGCGAGAATTTCGGATGCATGGAATTCGGCTTGTCCAACGAATTCTCCTCCTCCTTCTCTTCCAATTCCTCAACAAGGACTATATAAAGGCCTTATTCAAGCCTTTACTCTTTAATTCCAACACGAACGGCTCCATTACTCTCACTCGCTTTCTCTTCTTATAATTCTTCGTCTTGGAGCTTGTTAGGATCGTGTCATACTCCCCCTATTTAAAAGGATTCGTCCTCAAATCCACACAAATATCAGAAGGAGTATAAACAAAATCGATCTTATAATCAATCTCTATGTTCGGTAGCAAACTTACACATCTTGGCACCATCATCGCAGAACGTGAGTATTTGTATCTCGAAGTCCCAATGCATCAATCCTCTGTATAGAGAATGAATTAAGCATCTCTCTAGGCACCGCCATCTGATGAACATGCACAATGTCAGTTTGCACTTTGTTTAACTCAGCATTTACTTCCTTGCATGGGTGGATCACATCATTGTCCACCTCTTCAAAAGTATTCGCCCTCGAATCCGAATCGTCTTTTCTTTCATTTGGTGGCACGAGTTTGCAATTTTCTCACCCCTTAGACTCCACCTCAACATTCTCACTTCTTGATGTGGCTGACGTTACACCATATCTTCTATCTGTTAGAGTAGGTGACCAACAAGCCAACTTGGGGCTGTGGTCTTTCCATTTATTCTTGTAATAAATAATCATTTTTCGTATTAATGATAAAACACCTTAGCATTCTATATATTTGTCCCTTGTACAAACATAGATATACTCCTTACAGTTATTACAATTATTTATAATTGATCTTTTAGGATCGTGAGATATTTACTTAAGAATTATAACTGTTAAACCGTGTTCCTAGTCGAAGGGTTACGCCACCAATGAGGATATCGGCCTTTCCCATTTAGAGACTAGCACTTAGTGTATGTGTATTGCGTTCTCATCAGTAAACGGTATATATTGTGATATCGGCATGCATAAGTGGGTGCTTGTAAGTTGACGAGTTCACTGAACTCCCTCATCCTAGAAATCTCTAAGTGGTTCTCAATAATCGAGTAGAGATCTCTATAATATAGTTGTACACAATTAGTCTTTAAGACCTAGACATCAAGTGACTTCACTGGAGGACCAGCTGTATCGTGACATGTCCCTGAGTTTCAACGAGGACCGCCCCAAGGGCCTGTGTTTGTGCAGTCCGAAATCTAGTGGGAGGTCTGTGCATTGTAGTCGGGGATTCAATCGCTAGAATAGTCCTGGATGTCCCGTGTGTTCACATAGTTTGTAATATTTAAGTCTATGGCCAGAGCTGACAAAGTGATGATTAGGGAATCGATTCTCTAATTCATCCACGTACCGATTACAACACTTAGAACGCTCGCACAGTTATTGGACTACAAATGAGGTCTCGATGAACCAATGGCGCTAGTTCAATCAAGACATATGAATTGAAGGGATCGTACTGTACGTTAACTGTATCACACGGTTCTAGCAGGCACTTCATTTGTATCTAGGGAATCATGAAGCGTAGTTACTAGATGCCAATCTTGATTCGTTGGGTGTTTACATTGAAACGAGCTTCATCTTAATTATAACTATAGGGACGAGTTTAAACCACAAAGTGTTATGGACCCTAGCTTACACCTGAACCATCGAAGGTCACACTGCTTGTGCACTCGAGTTCTTTGAATAAACGGTCAAAGATAAAAATGTTTAATCTTTGCATAATTGGAAGTTAACAAGATTGAGTCCAACATTCGTCATTTGGAATTATGAATGAGAAAAAGAAAAGGAAAGAACTTGGCGAACATCTTAGTGAACTTTCTAAATTGGGAAGTTTCCAAATTTAGAAGGTCCACTGAATTAGGGTTTCTAGTTTTAGAAATTGTAAATCGAGAATCAGCATTCGTAATGACGAGGACGTTTCAATGATTTCGAAAATATAATTGTTATAATTTCCCAATCATTGAGTTGTGAGAAACGAGCGAAGAAAGACTAACGAAATTAAGTTGTTGGGTCCGGTCCAACTTAAGCTCGTTAGGGCTTTTATACAAGACACTATAAATATGAACCATTTTCTATGAATTTATGCAAGTTTTAATTCCGGATTATTTCTTCTACTTGTTTTATTAAGTGCATGAACTTGATCACTCTATGTGGTTTTATGTTATTGTTAATCGCATGAATCGGAAGATCGGGTTAATAATTAGAACTGTGGTAGAAGAGACTTTGTGGTATTAACATAGGAATATAGTTAATCTCTTAGGTAGCCATTATTGAGATTTATGCTTAATGGTGTGTTCTAGAATTAATTGAGTAGGAATACAATAATTGAATCTAGAATATTAGAATCGTAATACACGTGGAAGCGGGTTATGATTAATTTAGCATCTCAGGTTAATAATCCGAGTTAATAACTTGCATAATTGAAGGAATTGGGTGAGTAATAATCACATAGGGGGAAGAATAAAATTCTAGGCTTTCTTTCTCTTATTAATCTTCGTTTTTACTTTCTTCCCAGCTTTTGCCTTTTTAATTTGTTTTAATTTAGTTTAGTTAATTTAGTTTATTATTCATCTTTCGTTTGTGTAGGGTGGTCTTGATAATAATTGCTAGAATTTAGCGTCTAGGATTAAGTAATTAAATATTCTCTGTGGATCGATGTTTGGACTTAAAGTCCACTATATTACTTGTACGATATGTGCACTTGCGTGTAGGTATTACAACCAACATCGCGCGTGCGCCGATTGGGCAAGCCGGGCAGCTAATTGACCTAGGAAGTTACGGAAGGCAGTTGTGGAGCGGTTGGCCCCAGCAATGACTTAGAAACCGTTCATTTTATGTTGCATTAGTGAGCCAAGTGGCTGGCCTGCGTGCCGCCATGTGTCCCTTGGCAGTTTAGTGTGTAAACTACATTGTTCTTTGTATTTGTAGGCCCTTGAGTGTACAAATATGAGCCATTCAGATAGAGAGACTCAGATTGCAATTGTTAGCATCTGTTGTGAGGATTCGTTGCGTGCACCAAGGGCTTTCCTTGTATTATTCGTGAGTGAATCAATAAAGGTTGAACGTTGCTCGTAAATTGCTTGTGTTGTTCGATTTTCGCTGCATACTTGTGATTGTTGTTGTTTATTTGATACAATGATGGTGTCATACGTTTGTGTGAATAATTGCTGAGTGGGATGACTGATTTAGAGTGTAAATCAGCCGTACGGTGGGAAACATTTGGATTGTAAATTAACCCCTGTAACAATTGGGGAGGGACATATGCACAAAAACCCCAATAATAAATATGTTATTTCCTAATTATTCTCTCCGTCAAAGTGAGCATATCTGGAAAAAAAAATCAGAAAATAAATTATTTTCAAAAAAAAAAATTATTATTAAAATGGGAGTTAATGTGATATATTAGTTTAAATCTGAGGTCAATGTGTAATATTGAGGAAGTTAGAGTATAATTGATAGAATTGATAAAAAAATATATTATGGAGGGTATTTTAGACTAAAGAGATGAGATGAGTTCATTTGAAAGATTGTATTTTGTGTGGACAAATGTGCATTTAAGTTCATTGGCATGTCCCTCTTTGTCTTTTGCCCATAAAATATTAGTTAAAATGTTAATTTCAATGATGCCATTAATAAAGAAGAAATGAAAAACCATTCCATTAAGATAAGATTGTGAAAAAATTAATTAGAAAATCTGTAGAGAAAAAGAAATAAAACTAATTACAATGCTATTATTAGGGTTGTCCTACCTAGCTATGATATGGGTAGACTATAGTAGGGGTGGTAAACGAGTTGAGCCGCTTGTGAGCTTGATGAGCCGGCTCGAAAAAAGCTCAAACTCAAACTCCTGTTTTCCAAGCTTGCGAGCCTTATTTTTTACGAGTTCGAGCTCGAGCTTATTTTTAGATGTTCTCAAGCTCACGAGCCTTTTTTTATATATATTATTTTTTATGTAAATAATGTATAATAATATAAAATATTATGAAAATAATATAAAAAAAAAAACATATAAATATTAAAATATATATATATAATTACAGTTTATTGTTTATTTTGAATGTGTTTTATTATAATATAAATATTTTTTAATAGTAAAATTTAATAATTAAGAAAAAAAAAACACAATATGAGCTTGGGCTCGAGCTCGAGCTCGAGCCAAATAAAAAAAACTGTACGAGCTCGACTCTTTCACACCCCTCAATTAGAAGAAGATTACTAATAGGCAAAATCTGGATTATGATATTTAATCTTGATCTAGATACAACAAATTAAACCAAACCCCTCTCTCAAAAAAAAATAAAAAATTGTAACAAACCTATAGTAGTGATGATATTTTAAACGAGACATTCTTTTTTGGTCGGGTATGCGGTCTTTTGTCTGAAGGACCAGTTTTTACATGGCGTCACCACCTCTCTCTCTCTCTCTCTCTCTCTCTCTCTCTCTCTCTCTCTCTCTCTCTCTCTCTCTCTCTCTCTAAATTAATTAACCCCCCTCTCTCTCTCTCTAGATTAACCTCATCATCATTATATATATACACACACACAAAAGAGTCAAAAGCATATCTTGTATACTGCTGTGCTGTTGTCTCTATCAGTTGCTGGTGGGAGGTGGTGGAGTACTTCACCGCCACCACTTTCTCCGCCCCCTCTTTTTTTGTTTTTCGCCCACAAAGCTCGCTTATCGTACAATCAATATATATATATATAAGGTGAACGCCATCATCAATACATGTAAATGCTTACACACACACACACACACAAAACAGATCGATCAGGGTTTAATTAATTTGCATGAAAATCATTATTTATGTGATATAGAGAGAGCTAGCTTTTCTGGTCTTGTTTTCCCATAGGAGAAAACCCTTTCGTCTTCCCGTTGCTTTTATTATTACCTCGGGATCTGATCATTCTTTGACAATTTTGGGATATATCACTTCAATTCCCGAGGCAAAAGAGTAAGTTTACCTTTTTCTCTCCAAAAGTAATATATATATATATAAGTCTTAGCTTCAGCAAAAGCAAAAAGGAAGGTTGGGATATATACTACTGAGCCAGATCTACAAGGGTTTCAAAGGTTTTCTCTTCTTGATCTTCTTTAATTTCTTGATTTTTCCTGTTAATTATATCTTTTAATATTTTTTGTATTATATTCAAATGAATTAAACTGGTCGATTTTTCGATTTCGTGCTATCGCTTCGAATGATGATTTTCCAACCTAATTTAGATGGTCTTCAACCTCCATGTATATATGGATCGATCTCTCT